GGCTATGGCGGCGGGATGGGGCCACGAAACGCTGCCCTGGGTGGGGGACCGCATGCGAACACCCCCACTGGGGCCTTCGGTGGAGCTCCCTATGGGGCTACGAAACGCTGCCCTGGGTGGGGGAACCGCATGCGAATGCCTTCGGTGGAGCTCCCTATGGGGCTACGAAACGCTGCCCTGGGTGGGGAACCCATGCGGGGCCTTCGGTGGAGCTCCCTATTGGGCTACGAAACGCTGCCCTGGGTGGGGGAACCGCATGCGAACACCCCCACTGGGGCCTTCGGTGGAGCTCCCGCCACGAACCTGCCCTGGGTGGGGGAACCGCAATGCGAACACCCCCACTGGGGCCTTCGGTGGAGCTCCCTATGGGGCCACGAAACGCTGCCCTGGGTGGGGGAACCGCATGCGAACACCCCCACTGGGGCCTTCGGTGGAGCTCCCTATGGGGCCACGAAACGCTGCCCTGGGTGGGGGAACCGCATGCGAACACCCCCACTGGGGCCTTCGGTGGAGCTCCCTATGGGGCTACGAAACGCTGCCCTGGGTGGGGGAACCGCATGCGAACACCCCCACTGGGGCCTTCGGTGGAGCTCCCTATGGGGCCACGAAACGCTGCCCTGGGTGGGGGAACCGCATGCGAACACCCCCACTGGGGCCTTCGGTGGAGCTCCCTATGGGGCTACGAAACGCTGCCCTGGGTGGGGGAACCGCATGCGAACACCCCCACTGGGGCCTTCGGTGGAGCTCCCTATGGGGCCACGAAACGCTGCCCTGGGTGGGGGAACCGCATGCGAACACCCCCACTGGGGCCTTCGGTGGAGCTCCCTATGGGGCTACGAAACGCTGCCCTGGGTGGGGGAACCGCATGCGAACACCCCCACTGGGGCCTTCGGTGGAGCTCCCTATGGGGCCACGAAACGCTGCCCTGGGTGGGGGAACCGCATGCGAACACCCCCACTGGGGCCTTCGGTGGAGCTCCCTATGGGGCCACGAAACGCTGCCCTGGGTGGGGGAACCGCATGCGAACACCCCCACTGGGGCCTTCGGTGGAGCTCCCTATGGGGCTACGAAACGCGTGAGAGGTGTGCCGAGAGCAGAGGCAAGGAGGGGGAGGAGGGGGAAGAGGAGGAGGAGGAGAGGACGCGGGCACCGTCTCTTCAAAACGAGGACCCAACACCACAGGATGGTTGGGAAAAAATCCTCCTCCTCCTAATGTACGCGGGCTGCAGCATGGTCCCATGCAAAAAAAAAATCCTCCTCCTCCTAACGCGCTCCCACCCCACGAACGGAAGGCGCCCGCGCGCGGCCCCGCTTCGGGCGATCTGACGAAGAGTGAGCTTCGCGGGCCGCGCTGGGGCGGGCCGCGCTGGGGCGGGAGCGGGAAGGCTTCCGACGGGTGCGGCGAAGACGGAGCGTGCGCCGCGCTGACACAGCACTGCCGCTTTCACTCACAAGCTGCGCGGCGATTGGGCGAGGCGTCACGTCTCCCGCTCTCGCACAGCCCCCCTGCCGCTGTCGCTGTCATGCGCTTCGGCAAACGCCTGGTTCGGGAGGAGGCGGGGAGGAAACCGGAGAAACAACACAACAAAACAACACAGTCCATGGGACCATATACGTTGTTTTTTAGTTGCGCATCGGCTTTTTAGTATGTAAGCCCCTAAACACATATAAGCACCATCTTGAATCAAGGACGATTTGTGTTCCCACAGTGCTTGGACATTTGCAAGTTGGTGTTGCTTATGTGTCTCGCTTACACGTGAAACCGTTTGTGCAGACTTGCAATTTGATTCCTGCCGTGCGGCCATCAATCAGATAGAATCCGGTTTCGGGGAACTACGAATTTCTTTTTATGTCGAATCGGTGTGCTGACTTCAATGTGATTCCCCATGTGGGGCCTTCAGATACAATTCCTTTGCGCCTGGCTCGAAGGGAAGGGGGACGTTGGACTACGAAACTAGCAAACCAGACAAACACACAACGCTGACAATCAGGCGGACCAAAAGCGCTGTGTTTTTGAATGTATTTTCCGGGAAAAAACACCACACACAAACAATATGCAAACAAACAGTGTTTGGGCATTCGCACGTTGATTATGGTTTTGCGGTTGTCAAATCATGTTTTTTGTTGTTTTGTTGTTTTTTTCCTGGGGGTACAACTCTATTCCCATTGCGTAGGAGACATTTGATATCTTTTCGCTCGCACATAGAATGTGCTTTCTGTTGCGCTGCCTTCAAAAATAACTCTTGTGTGCTAGGTTCGGGGGGGACGGACAGGGGACTTGGCCGACGAAGAAGGCAAACAAAGACAAACATGACCAACCAAGACAAGCCGTGGGACTAACACATGGTTTTTGTAATTGTAAGCTCCGAAGCACAGCACATGATAACCTGGAAGCAAAGAGGACCTGTGTTCTCACTGTGTTCAGGCAGTTACAAGCTGATGTTGCTTGTGCTTTTCTTTTGTAAGTGAGATTCTGTTGCGCAGACTTGCGCAGTGATTCCAAGTACGCTGCCATCAATCAAGCGGAATCCCTTTGTGGGGAGCTACGAATTTATTTTTTATGTCATAGCCAAATCAAATCCTGTTACACAGACTTGCAGACGAATTCCTACTGTGCAGCCTTCAAATCGAATTCCTTTGTGCCTGGTTCGGAGGGGGGAAAAAGGGGGGCCATGCCACGAACAAGGCAAACAAAAACACCATGTTACAATCGCGGGTGTCCAGAGGCATGGCGTTGTTCATTATAGCTATGGTTCTATCGCTAACAAACACGCACAAACACACACACACACACACACACACACACACACACACACACATACACACACACACACACACGCACACACACACACGACAATGCGAAAGTAAGGAAGCCCTGTGTTTTCATAGTGTCCAGGCATGCGCACATGGTTTCTATTGCGCGACCATCAAATCGTACCTCTTTGTGGTGAACTACGCAATGGTTTCCACTGTGCTGGAGAAAGTTGAGTTCTCTTTGTACAGACATGTTGATTATTGTTGTGCGGCTGTCGCATCGGATTTCATTGTGCCTGGCTCGGGCGGACGGGAGATGCTTGGCCGAAACATCGTGCAATTGCTTAAACATTTAAGCGCACATGCTTTCATTGCGTCCTCGTTGTGTTTTGCGTGCGCGTGTGTGCCCATTGTCTACCATCGGTTTGGTGGCCCGATGGCCGCAATTCGCCCTGGGCGCGCGTCAGTTTGTTTTGAGTTGAATATTATCCTCGTCTTCTGGCCGCAGCAAATTTCGTTTGGACTGACAATTCGTTTAACAAACCCATCGTTTGCATTTTGCAGTGTGCGACGTTTGTACGCTGCGCTATCGACAGCGCTCGGTCGCAGTCAGCTGCCCGCGCTTGAGGACCCTCTGCGTCATTGGATCGAAATGTGTGTGTGTGTGTTTGTGTGTTTTTGGCTACGCTTAACCAGCTTACGCATGGCAACACGTGGTTTGTGTTTTTTTGTGGTGTTTGTCTTTTTTGTTGTTTTTTCGTGGCCCGGCTCCCCACTGCTCCCCACTTTCCGCCCGAGCCAGGCACAACAGAATTGTGTTTGAACGCCGCGCAGTAGGAGAACATGTGTAAGTCTGCACGCAAGGATTTCAAGCGTTTCCTACACTAAACATCAATGCGTATTTGCACTCAACGGGGTTTTGTTTTGGTCGCGCAGAAGGAATCAAACTGAAAATGCTAGGACATTGTGAAACACAGTTTCCCTTGCAGCCCAGTGTTTTTGTTTTGTTGTGTGTGTTTTGGCTCGTAAGTAGAGCCGCATGCACAAAGCAAGCAAAGTTTTTTTGGTCCCCCCAGGTCGGTTGGTTTGTTGTTGCTTGTCTTGGTTGTCGCTTTCGTGGCCCAGCTCGCTTCCTCCCTCCAGGCCCGGCGTAAAGGAATTCTATTTGATAGCGGCACATCAAGAATCAAGTTGTAAGTTTGTACCAAGACAGATTTCAATTTCCTTTTTCGCAATCGGAATCAGTTCGTAGCCCCCCACAAATGGGTTATCTTTCTGGGCCGCGCAGTAGTAATCGAATTGCACATGCCACAACATTGTAAAAACACCATTTCATTTGTCTTAAAGGTTGGTGTTGTTTTGATGTTTTGTGTCTTGGGTGTATATTAACGCGGGCTTACACTGAAAAACAAAACGTGTTTGGTCCCCCTGGTTGCTTTGTTTTTTCCGTTGGTCAGGCCTCCCTCTTCCGCCCTGGCCAGGCACAGGACTTTGAATTGGACCCAAGGATTTTAATTGTCTCTGTCAACATAGGAATGTACTCGCAGTCCCCCACCAAATGGATTGGAATTGAGATCCGCACAGTAGGAATCAATGTGCAAGTCTGTACGACATATTTTCATTTGTCCCCTACACAATAGGGATAACTCGTAGCTTCCCACAAAAGGATTTTGTTCGAAGGCCGCACACTAGGGGTCAGCTTGTAAAACGGTTCAGAAAGGGTTTGATGTCTACCCTGCACAATACAATAAACTTACAGATCCCACAAGGGGATTGCGTCAGAAGGTCGCGCAGAAGCAATCAGTGTGTAAATCTGCACAAAGAAATACGCATGCACCCCCGCACTCAGAGCCATCCCGTGCCTCCCCACAAAAGACGTCATCCTGAAGGCTGCAGAAGACGTCATGCTGTTTCTCACTGCACAAAGGGAGAGGAATAAAGGGTGGGAGGGACGGGGAGGAATAAAGGGTGGGGGGCGGGAGGGAGGGGGGAAGGGAGGGGAAAGGAGGAGGGAGGGAAAGGAGTAGGGAGGGGAAAGGAGGAGGGAGGGGAGGGAGGGGAAAGGAGGCGGGAAAGGAAGAAAGGAGGAGGGAGGCGAGGGGAGGCGCAGCGAGGGGAAAGGAAGAGGGAGGGGAGGGAGGGGAGGGGAGTGGGGAGGGAGGGAGGGAGGGGAGGCGAGGGCTTGCCGTGGGAGGCTCGGCGCCCGCGGGAGTAGGCGCGTGGGCCTGGCCGGTGCTGCCCGCCAGGTGCAGCCCTTCTTCGCGCCGATGGTACGCATCATACCGGAGGCGCCCTCGTCCTCACACCTCCCTTTTGTTTTTTCCTTTTTGTTTTGTTTTGTATCTCTCGCTATTTCTATATACCTCTCTTTGTTATCTCTCTCTCGCTCTCTCCTCTGTCATTCTTCATATTACATGTCTCGTTTTCTCACATCCACCGCTCGCTTTCCTCCCCCCTTTTTTCCTCATCTTCTCTCTCTCTCTCTCTCTTCTCTATCATCCTTCATCTCACATGTCTCGTGTTCTCCCATCCACCTTTCGCTTTCCTCCTTATCCTCCTATGTATCCCCCTCCCCCCTCATTCTCTCTTTCTATCTCTCCTCTGCCATCATTCATCTCACTTGTCTCGTTTTCTCCCGTCCACCTTTCGGTTTCCTCCTCTCCTTTATCCTCCTCCTCCTCCTCCTCCCTCCTCCTCGTCCTCCTCTTGTTCCTCTTCCTCTTTCTCCTCCCCCGTCTCCTACCTCGGATTGAACTCTCATCCTCATTCCCCCTATCTCCTGCAGTCCTTCCTCATCGTTCTTGTCCCCACCAGTCCCCTGCCTTTCCACCTCCTCCTCACTGCAGCGAAGAGCCGTTGCGCTCGCAAGGCGGGATTCGCGTCGGACCCTGTTGTCTCAGAACATTCGCTGGTAGCTCCTCTCTCTCATGGGTTCGCCTCCATGTTTCTGAAGCACCTCCCCCCCGCAGCAGTGCGATTTGGGATCGGGCCGCGTCGCAGATGCCCTCCGAGGGTGTACGCGGGGAGACGAGGGGGAGGAGCACGGGGAAGGAGGAAAAGGAGGGAGGATGAGGGGGAGGAGGGAGGGGAGGAAGAAAAGGAGGGATGAGGAGGGGAGGAGGGAGGAGGGAGGAGGGGAGGAGGGAGGAGGGGAGGAGGGAGGAGGGGAGGGAGGAAAAGAGGAGGGACGAGGAGGGATGAGAAGGGGCAGGGGCGGTCAGGAGGGGGGGTGAGGAGCGCTGGCTGACTTGGTTGAGCAGCCTTGGATCGCGCCTGCACACAGTTGGGTGGTGCAGATGACCAGCCGCCGTCTACACACACGCTTCGCGATGGCTTGCTCGGAGAGCGGACTGGGACCCTGCAGGCGAGGCGGTGCTTTCTCCGCGAGGTGTGGGCTGCCAGCGTTGGCACGGTCGTCGCATGTGTTATGTCGGGCGTGTCCCCCTACAGGTGGATTGTCGACGAAACATCAAAACAATACCCCTAACATACCCCAAGAAGGTCAAACAATACTCAAAAAATAATCCCCAGACTATGTTTGGATTATTTGTTTTATCATGTTTGGGGTATTCTTTGTTGTTTTTCGTCGTAAATCCCCCTGTAGGGGGGCATGCCCGACTCAACGCATGTGCGAGCAGTGTCCGCCTGCCGATGTAAGCAGCAGCTCCTTGCCACATCCTGGCTGGCCTGGCGCTGCGGGATGTCGCCAGCTCCGAGCAGGGGATGAGCGGAGGAGATCGCGCGAAGGCGTGCGATCATGAGGCGTAGGGTCAGCGAGCGGGGTGGAATTCTCACCGTCATCTGCGCCACCTGGTGGGACGCGTGTCGCGCTGCGAGGGGCAAGAGAGAATCCAACGAGGTTCGGGTCACTTCGCCTGGGCCCCCGGGCTGTCGCCACGGGCGTGTGACACGATTGGGCGTAATTCGTATCATGCCGACCGTTTCTTGCGTCCTCCGCACTGGACCCTCTGCTTCCTGCTCGCCCCTCCGCTCCCCTTATCTTCCGCGCCAGGGTGTTCGTTTCGCCCGGGCGAGCGCGGTCATCCAGACGGCCCGGTAGGGCATCCTCGACTCTTCGTTCTCGCTTCACCTAGGAGGAAGGGGCGATGGCGGTCCTGCGTCCCCACTCTTTTTTCTTAGGTTTGGTTGCGGCTGTCCTTTGGGGGGCATCGCCGCCGCGATACACAAGAGGAGGCGTGCAGCCACGGCGCGGAGGGGCGGCGAAACTGGAGCAGCACCGGCGATTCGGGCGCGCGCCCGACGCGCAGGTCCGGCGGCGGCGCGCGCGCGCTGCCGCCGCGGTTGCAGCAGACTTCCGTGGTCGGGCTCGAGCCTCAAGCAGAGCAGGCCTCAAGGTCGGACTCAGTGAGTACAGTCGGGGCCTTGACCTAAGGAACCCAAAATAAGGAACGAGGCCCCTTTTTTCCATAAGTTAAACTTCGATTTCCTATCGAAAACATAAGGGAACCTGAGGCAAGCTGTGAAACCCTTAAGGAACGCGGAGCCCCTCCCCAACCAAAAGGGTTCCTTCTTCAGGGCCCCGACTGTAAGCTCCGAGGCCAGAAACCAATCGCGATCCCGTCCGGGCGCGCACCCGGCGCGCGGGTCTTGCGGCGGCGCTCGCGCGCGGGTTGATCGCGGGCCCATGAGGCCTCCAAGAAGTTTCGCTAGGCGGACGAGAGGTAGACTCCTCCCCGAGGAGGAATGCGGCGGTTGCAAAACAAACGAACATTCCGAACCACCTACGCCTAGAAGGCTGGCGGGATTGATTTCGCCTGTGCGCGAGTGCACCCCCCACGCATTTTTCTGGGAGAGAGAGCACGCTGCCTCATCCATCCGATGACGGACCAGTCCCTTGCACGTTTTCCATTAGCGCCTGCTCAGATTTTGAACCACCAGGGCTGCAGGCGAGGTAGTAGCGAGCGGCGCAGCGTCGGCGACGATCTCAGCTCTCGCGTTCCCCCCTCGGCGTCGCTGCCGCGTCTGTCCAAGTGAAGGCGGTGTCGCCTCGAGATCCTCGTAAAAGATGCAAGCTGGCCGTTGATGAGGGAACCTTGCTTGCATTAATGCTCTTACCCCTGTCGTCCGTCCTGCGTCCCCACGTGGGAGGACGGGGGAAAGGGGACCCGGTTGGACTGATGACAACAAGGTGTAAGATCTCGATCGAGGCATTCTGCAGTGGTTTGTCTTTCGGCGACGATTCTTCCAGACTGCTGCAGTGGTGTCTCGCTGCATGTACATTCTGCTTTTGCATCCTCATCCTTCTCGCCGCGTGTTTTTCGTCATTGTGGAGTCTGCTTCTCTTCACTGGGGAGTTTGGCGCGACGGAGGGAAGCGCATGTCGCTATGTCATCTGTGTGCTGTGAATTCGAATTCGAGGGGATGGCAGCCCATCCTCGAGGGCCCGGCCGGTCGCGACTGGGGAACCCATGTGCTGCGCACAAGAGCCGGTGAAGATAGTGGCGCGGCGACCTTGGTCGAGAGTTTCTCCCAAAGCGGTTCTACTACTCGGTCGTTGAAGTGCAGGGCCTCATGTACTCTGTGCGCCTGCATGCCTCAAAATGTATAACCGAAGGGTCTTCCTCTCTCCTCTCTTCCTTTGGGGGCTGGCTGGTGATGCAACCTACTTCTCAGCGCCCGTTCTCTTCCCCTCCGCCCCAGCCCGGGGCTTTTGCAGACCTTTGCGATCGTCGCTGCAATGCCGGATGTCGACGCGCTGTCACTCCCCTCAGCTTTCATCCTTCCAACGGGGGGGGGGGAAAAAGACCATTTCTCGGCGCCCTCCCCTTCCGCGCTGCTCTCTCCTTCTCACGACCGATGGGCACCGCACCCCCGCCCCTGCACCCCTCCTGCTCTCCCTCCTCTTCCTCCTCCTCCCTCTTCCTCCTCCTCCTCCTCCTCCTCCTCCTCCTCGCCGTCTCCTCCTCGCCGTCTCCTCCTCGCCGTCTCCTCCTCCTCCTCCTCCTCCTCCTTTCTCGCCTCGGAGATCGAAGCTGCGGACTGTGTCACCACGTCCCTCTCCTCCCCTCCCTCCTCTTCCTCCCTCCCCCTGGGCAGGTGCAGGAGGCCCTGGACGCCCTCGAGCAGAACAAGGCCTTCTGGCAGACGAAGGAGCGCTGGCCGCGCACCGCTCCTGCCGCCGCGCCGCCGAGTGGGGGGGAGGGTCGCTTACGCGTGGGTCAGAGAAGGAGAAGGTGCCGATACCGCTACCCTTCGCCCGTTTTCCAGCGCTGGGCCCCGGGAGGTCGGGCGGAGGGGGGCGGAGCCTTTGCGCCCCCATGTTGCAGGAGGGGAAAACACACACAGACACAATTCATTGTCGATTCCCAGGAAAATATGGGAAAACATGGGCAGTGGGGGGGAAGACAAAGACCCCAAAAGAATGGACAAAACATGGGGAACATTTTTATTTGTGTGTAGTAGTGGTGTGTGTGTGTGTGCGTGTGTGTGTGTGTGTGTGTGTGTCCTGGGGCCCCTTCAATGTTGCCCGAGGCTGCCACGGCTCGGGCTTCGCGGGCCAGCCCTCGGGACTCCCGAGACGGCGCGGGGGGCCCTCGAGGGGTGCCCAGGGCGGCTCCGTGCGGCCGTGCTGGCCGTGCATAGCCGGGTGCCCTCGGCGACGCCGCGCTGCCGTCCCCGCTCGCGCGTGGCAGCACGCGGGCAGCATGCCCTCGTCTTGGCATCGCTCGGACGTGTGCATGTTTCCTTCGGCGAGGACCATCGAGGAGCATTCTTGATCATTTGGCGAAAAAACCACGCACGAAACCGAAAAAAACACAGGGAATGGACGTCCGAGCGATGCCCAGTCGTGCGCCGTGCTTCTCCTGCCGGAAGGCTTATCAGGTCGCGCGCGCGGGCCTGCCAGTGCGTGGCCAAAGCGCTACAGTCTTTGTAGCGGTAGAAGGTCGGCGCAAGCTCAGTACCAGCAGTGCGAGACACTGGTAGAACGCTCGGCCCCTACGGCCCTCCACCCCAACTTCGCCGTTGAAGAGAGGGGAAGATTTCTCAGAGGGGGGCTGCTTCTTGGAAGGCGCGGGCCTTATCTATGACTACACGCTGGTCGTTGAGAGCAGGTGCTTCTGAATTCCCAGGTCCCAATCTGCTTCAAGCGCCTCCCTATTTCAAGAACCGATCTGCTTTGGCTGCATGGCGTTATTCTCTGGGAGGACCTGAACCCAATCTACTTTATCCGCCTTTCTATTTCACGCTTGTACCTACATCTTCCGACCGACATGTACGTAGAATGTTCCGTCGATCTAGCAGTACATTCTTTCTCGTAGAGTCGACGAACACATCAATTTTGGGGTATTTCAATTCTGCAGTCGATGCACTGGTCGAAGGTTTCAGGTTGCGCGCAGACGCCCCATCCCCAGGTAGTCCCGGCTGGCCTCAACAGACCCCCCGAGTAGTCTCAGCTGGCCTCGACCTCCCGAGCAGTCCGAGGAGGTCTCAACACCCCAAGCCTGGGGCGCGGACTGCGACTACCAGGGGGGGTTTGAGGCCAGCTGAGCGACGCAGAAAGATTGGATCGTCTTCACCGATATTGGCGCGTAGGCTGCCCGTGTGAGCTCCTCCTCCTCCCGCGCGTAAGCGCTCGCGTTTCCGATGTGGCGTGCCACACTGGCGGCCCGCGTACGCCGTGGCATCAGGTCGCCATGTCATGTAAAACCGTTCCTTTTCGTCGCTCAGCTGGGACTCCTTGTGGGGTGGCTCTGGAGGCCAGCCGGGAGTACCTGGGGGGCTGTCTGTGCGCAGCCCGAAGCTTAGGTCACCTTGATAACCGCGCTTCGCGCGTCGCGGTCTGGGCCAGAGTGGTGGCCTTTCTCCAAGCGTGTATGTGCGCGTGTGTGTGAATGTGTGTGTGTGTGTGTGCGTGCGCGTGTGTGTGTGTGTGTGCGCGCGTGTGTGTGCGTGCGTGCGTGCGTGCGTGCGTGCGTGCGTGCGTGCGTGCGTGCGTGCGTGCGTGCGTGCGTGCGTGCGTGCGTGCGTGCGAGTGTGCGCGCGCGCGCGTGCGTGTGTGTGTGTGTGTGTGTG